ATATATATCATCTTATACTTCCAAAGATTCTAACAAAAAATGTTAGAATAATCTTGAAAATTATAGGTTTGCTAAAAATATCTTCATTTTATGCTCCAATATTATAAACAAAATAACATCCATCATAATAAATAGATCAAAGTAAGGACCGATGAAATTAGGTATATCGTAATAAATTTAAAACATAAAACACATTGTAATCAAGTTAACATAATGAAATCTTTTGAATAATAAAACAATATTTTTTTACCATTACATTTCATGAATGAAATGGTTTCACCATTTCATCACTATACAAATCAACCTATTGCTAGAGAAAACATCTGTCATTTTCATGTTCTCAATACATGGATTCGTTTCAATGTTATTATGAAATTGTTTCACTGTTTGCTTCTATATACACCATTTTATTAACATTAACATATCAACCATTACAATAACCATTATATGAATATGTTTCACAACTAAAACACTTTACACAATATATGAAACATCAACTATTGTTATGCATTTTTATGTTTTCACTGTTTGCTTCCATTAATCATTTTTATGGTCAAACTATTTAATATTGTTTACATTTCAAAACTTATAGGAAACAAGGAAACAAGATTATCCAAAGAAATTATATCATGCAACAATTTCATTCATAAAATTTGCGAAATCTGAACAAGTTTCATTAAATGAGTGCGCTTTTTTCAATTAAATTAGTGCCCTTTTTTCAATTAGAAAATATGTTGTATCCTAATAAATTATGCAATAATTTCATCCATAAAAGTTTGTTATCTGAACACGTTTCATTAAATTACTGCATCTATCATACCATACAAATTCATAAACATTAAAGAAACAAGATCATATATCCAAAAAAATTAAAGAATTGAAACAATTTTCTCAACAATTGTTGATAAGATCAAACAATAATTGATTTTAAAATTCATTTTTTTATTCAATATAATCGCGAAAATAAATAAAACATATTTATTGTGAAAAAACTAAATTAAAAAAAGATTTAACTCCTACCATATTAAACGTTTTTTTTCTTATGTTTCTAAAATTAACAAAATTTATTACCTTCCAATATTAATCAAAAAACAATGGAAATGACTATTAAACTCTTCCTGATTAAAATTAATTGAAAAAAAAACAGAATTTTTATATTGGTCGAAATTGATTTGCATGGTTTTTAAAATATTGAGTGGTTTCAACCTAATAAAGAATTTGAGGATACTTTCTCATACAAGTTAAAAGAAACAGAGTATCCATACAAGTTAAAAGAAACAATATATATATATATATATATATTATATATATATATATATTATATATATATATATATGTATATATATATTGTTAAAGACTTTGAGGATACTTTCTCGTACAAGCTCAAAGAAACAAAAGAAGAATTGGTAAGAGGTAGGTACCATCCATCATAAACTTTATTACACTTTTACATCTATATATGTTATATGTATATACATCCTTAAGTGTGTAAATAAGAAGAGAGAAAGCAGTGAGTACACAACCAAACTGTAAAAGTTTTTGCAAGCCAAGAATCTGGAATAACAAACATTCCCACCACCTACCACCTCTTCATTAATATTCATTTCATATATATATACATACATACACACATCCTCAACCAAGAAGAAACCCTTATTCTTCCTCTATCTTTCTAGCTAGTATGGGGGTGAAGAACATGATGGCATGTGTCAAGAATTCAAACAAAAACTGTGGTGGAGAAGAAGCCGAGAAGAAGAAGATCAATGGGACAGTGGTTTTAATGAAGAAGAACTTTCTTGATCTCAATGATTTCGGTTCATCCATTCTTGATCGCCTTTACGAGATCTTCGGAAAACGAGTTTCAATCCAGCTTATCAGTTCCACTCATCGTGACCCATGTCAGTCTTCATCTTTTCTTTTCTTTAATTCTTTCTATATTTAAGATCATATATATACGTATTGTTTATGGGTTTTAGGCAATGGATCGAAGGGGAAGATTGGAAAAGCAGCGAGACTTGAAGATTGGGTGACGAAGAGGACAGCCATGGCAGCTGGAGAAGTTTCTTTCTCGGTGACATTCGATTGGGAAGAATCCATGGGAGCTCCAGGAGGTTTGATGGTAAAGAACCATCACCACAGTCAGTTCTACCTCAAGACCGTCACTTTGGAACATGTTCCCGGCCATGGGACCCTCCATTTTGTTTGTAATTCATGGGTGTACCCTGTGCGTCGTTACAAGGACCCTCGCATCTTCTTCGCCAACAAGGTACATATTCATATACATACATATTCTACATATATATATATATATATATATATATATATATACACACACACACACATATGTATACTTGTTTTCTTATTCGATCTCCACTGTTTTTCTACATTTCTCTCTTCTTACCATCATTCGAATCTATTCGTTCGACCCTATATATACATACATATTATGTATGTATATATATACATATATACATATTAATCTTTTTAGCTTTTTTTACTTTTTCGAAAAGCTAGTTAGGGACCAACGTAGGTCGCTTGACACTCAATCTAGCCTCCACAAATGGCGGATCTAGGAATTCGGGAAAATCTAGCATGCGAATCGAACGAGGCTCTGGTTAAATGTTTTGGGGTTAAACGAGTCAGGGATATATATCATGTTCAAATTCTTGTTATATCTGTATCATCATTAATTAAATTAGTTTAGTTTAAATGAGATAACAAGTGATCAAGTCATGACATGACACAATCACTTTTATAAAGTAGACAATAATGATAAAATGACATAAAAAAGCAAAAACAAATAAGAATTCATATACAAATACCAAAGTAACAAAGGTGAGATTATGTTAAGGAGTTTGAAGTAGGTAGTCATGGCCATGGCTACCCCTTTCTTATATAAACAATATTCCTTTAAATATACGCAAAAAAAAAAATAATAAAATAAAAAAAAAATAAAAAAAAAATAAGAAAATGGGGATTGTGAGCTACATTTTTGTGTTGTGTTGTGTTGGCAAAACTCTCCTTAAAAGGGAAGTCGCCACAAAATCACTATATATTGACTTTTGTGTTGGGGGCAATTGCCCCCTACCAATGATAAATTGAAATTAAAGATCCACCAATCACATACCAATCCGTATATTATAAAGAAAATTGAATCAGGGGTATTATCAATCTACTATATATATTATTTAAAATTTAAAATTATAAATAAAATGTGTATAAGTATAATTTATCTATGTTTAAATTTTATAATTAACTGTTGATAAACATAATCAAAATCAAATATAAGATAAACTTCTTATTTTCTACATAAAAAATCTAAAATACAATGATTATCTAACAGAATATTTAATTATTATTCTTATAAAAAAAATTATATGATTAAATAAAAAATAGATTATTTAGTTATTAAAGCTAAATTAAATTATAATAAAAATTGAATTAAAGAAACTATACAAGAAAACTAGAATTTTATATTATTTTTTTTTTAAATTCTTATGATATCTTGAAATTTATATTTTATTTAACAATAGAAATATTTTTGATTTCTCAAAATCATATAAAACCGTATTATAACATCCACAAAGACAAAGAATAAAACGAAAAATTAAAATCGAGATGGATCTCGCTAGCATTACACGAGTACCCTTCCAGTATTTCTAAACTGAGTCAAATGAGAGCATTCAAGAGGGTTGGTTGAATCACATATTGATTATTAGTGACGAACCAACTCAGGAAATTACGTAAATAGCTATTTCAGGAAAGAGCTTTATAAAACAGATTAAAATTGAAAATCATTTTATAAAATAACTATATACGTAACTCACATGTATATATAGGGGTCTTTCCTTTCCGTACAAGAAATTAATACACTCAAAGCTGTAATAGATGCTTTCAGTGAATAGTGGAAATGAAAGCATAGGAAAATTATTCATATAGGAAAAAATATTTATTTCTGTTTGAAAATTGCTGAATGATTCAGTAATAAAATAATTAACAAACTTTTATTATATAATGTAAAATAATATATAATTGTTTTGTAATTATTTAGAATGAAATTAGGGTGTTGAATAGTTAAGAGAGTTTTAGAAAGATGGATTTTTTTTGTGCTTAACAAGATTCATCTCTCAACGATTTAAAAATGTTATATTTTAATGAAACTACTAAAAAATAAATAAACAGTGTTGTTAAAAAATGATTTAAATTATAAATTAAATCAAACTAAAAACAAATTAATAATATTTAACACAATACCAGCCGGCATAATAAATTAATACACATTCCTAAATGTGCAATAAATATAATTTAAATTCAAAACTACAACTTGTTTGAATTATATAATATTATTTATAGAGTAAAACTTGCACACTTTTTAAATTTATGATACTTTGGACTTTTAATCTATATTATAATTATATTATAAAGTATTTGACGAAAATTTTTAAAAACTATTTTTTATATATAACATATTGTATATTGATATATATTACTTAAAATTCAAGATTACAAGTAAATTATGTATAAATACAACTTATTAAAACCTCATGTTTGAATTTATGTAACTAACTGCGGATAAACATGATCAAATAGAGAATAAACATTTCATTTTAAGATATAAAAAGTCTAAAATATAATTAGGATAATTATCGAGTTCTAACAAAATAATTAATTATTATATTTATAAGAAAATCATATTATTAAACCAAATATAAATTACTTCGTTATTGAATCTAAATCAAATTATTTTGAGATTGTTTATAAAAACAACTTATTGATTTATTCCAGTGTGACATGGTAATAAGCACTTTTGAGTGTTTGGTTAAAGAACTTATACCGGTGTCAAACCGGTAATAAGAAGTTTTTAAAAAGGTTAAACTCTTCTGACTTATAATGAGTTGATAAGTGTTTTAGTATAAAAGTATAAGTTGTTTCAAATAAGCAATCCCAAACACCCCCATAATAATAATAAATTAAATTAAAAATACACAAAAGATAGGAATTTTCAATAGTTAATTTGATATTAATATCGATATATTTTTGTCAAATTTTTATGATATCTTCAAATTTATATATTATTCTAAAATAAAAACATCATTATTTTTTCAAAATCACATAAAACCATACTATAACATCGACCGAGATAAAGAATAAAATGAAATATTAAAATCAAGATGTATCTCGTTACATTACGCGAGTACCCTTCTAGTCTCTATATACATTATAATAAAATTGACTCATATGATGTCTAGAATATATAAGACGTTTTATATAACTTAAGTTTATAGGATCAAACTTTAAAATATCCCATCTAAAAGCGTTACAATAAAGTTTATTGGATGTTTTTAGGTGTTTTAACAAGTTTTATAAACACAAGTGTCAAATTAGCTATTCTATAACATTTTTTATAAGTCTTCTATAAACCAATCTTTTTATAGAACATTTGTATTTATAAGACATTTTTTTCAATAATATCATATAAAATAGTTAATACGACAATTTATTTAAAAACATCCTTAAAAAGTTGTTAAAATAACTAAAAGTGTCCTATAAACCTATTGTAACACTTTTAGATATGATATTTTTTAGTTTGATCCTATAAAATTAGGTGTTATAAGCTATTTTATTAAAATGTTTTAGAGATCCTGTAAAACCATCATGTCAAAACTTACCCACAAGAACTCCACCGTCACTTACCTTATCGGATAAAATTCTCAATTATTAAAATGTATGGACCGTTGGTAAACGCATTTTATCAGATAAAAGTCTTCTCCTTCACATATCGGATAAGATTCTCGATTCTTATTATGTCTCTTACAAGTATAGGATTATGTCTTTATCATTTTCACCTGAAATATAAGTGACATTTGATAACCGCTTTTTCTCATAACCCTAATTATCAAAAAGTAGTTTTAAAAATTGGGTTTTTCTAAAATAAAAATAGAATATAATTATTTGATAAATTATTATTTTTATTTTCAATTATTAATATTCCATCTCGAATTCTTTTTAGTTTTGTATTTGGAAAAGTAAAATTGGGGAACATGTGGTGGAATTAGTTTATGTTTTCCTTCCAAATTCCTTGGCTTTTATATATTAATTAATTTATGAAACCCATTTTTTAATTTCAAAGTAATGGTTCCAACTAAACATGAGGCATGTCACGTGATACATGCTTTGTCTTTCTTTTATCTATACTATATTATAAACTATTTGATAAAAACTCTTAAAAACTATTTTTATGTATCAAATACTGATTATTGATAAAATTCGATTCGACTCGAAAACTCGAAAGTTACCTTCAACATTAAACTCGACTTAAATTCAATAGCAATTTTTTAACTCAAACCGGTTTGAAGCTCGTATCAAAACTCAAATCAATCTTAATATTTGAAATTTATAAATTTTTAGGGTCTTCTTTTATAAATTATTAATCTTAAAAGTATTTTTTTAACTTTATAAAATTCAAAAGATGCCATTCAAATTTCAACGAGGATGAAAACAAACTTACAAATTCCATGCACCTAACCTCTTCATCCTTCATTTGCTGTCTCCATTTTAATATGGAATAGCTTTACCAACATTTTTATAGTTTTTTTTTTTTTTTGTCTTTTGTAATTATTGTTTAAGAAAAAATAAATAATTAATTTTATAGTTAAAAAAAGATAAATTTTTTGCTTAAATATCTAAAAATATACGACATTTTTTTTATTGTTGGTAACTTTATTTATAAACTTTTATATTATAGTTTACAAATTATATGATAAAACTAATTATCTATAACAAAACTAAGTATCTCATGAGATTTTCGAGTCGAGTATTGGGTAGTCGACTCAACTCGTTAGTATGTCGAGTCGAGCTCAAATTTAAGCCGAGCCTACTTTAGTCGAGCTTGACCGAGCTTTGACTAAGTCAATCCCAAGTAGCTCGCGAATCGTCTCGTATTGTTTACGGTGGAACCTCCAAAAACCTTATTTTTCGTGGTTTTTCTTTTTGCATTATTTTTATATATTTGATTACAAGTTATAAACAAGATCTATTTGGGTTGTTAAATCAGGCTTATTTACCTTGTTCAACACCCGAGCCACTGCAGCACTATAGAGAACAAGAGCTTGTGAATCTCAGAGGAACCGGTTCAGGAAAGCTTAAGGAATGGGACAGGGTTTATGACTACGCTTTCTATAATGATTTGGGCCTCCCTGACAAGGGGCCCAAATATGCACGACCCGTTCTTGGTGGATCTCAGGAATACCCGTATCCACGAAGAGGAAGAACGGGTCGTGGACCAACCAAAACAGATCCAAAAAGTGAAAAACGACTTTTTCTTCTCAGCCTGAATATCTATGTGCCCCGTGATGAACGGTTTAATCATATAAAGTTCTCAGATTTCTTAGGCTATGCAGCGAAATCCATAGGACAAGTGGTTCGACCTGAACTTAAAGCAATATTTGATAGAACTCCGAATGAGTTTGATTCTTTTAAAGATGTACTAGATCTATACGGAGATGGGGTCAAGCTCCCGAAACAATCCGTAAGCAAGATCAAGAATCGAATTCCATTGGAGTTGGTGAAAGAACTGTTACGTTCGGATGGCGAGAAGCCACTTACATTCCCAATGCCAGATGTAATCAAAGGTAATATACTACTTGTTCCCAAATTCATTTCTACAACAACTAGTAAAATTTATAACATCGTAAGTTATGGTAGATGACAAGTCTGCATGGAGAGAAGATGAAGAATTTGGAAGAGAAATGCTCGCGGGAGTAAACCCTGTGGTCATCCGCCGACTTCAGGTGGAATATACTGAGCAGTTTGGTTTGGTTTGGTTTGGTTTGGTTCGGTTTGGTTAGAAAACATGTTTCAAGCTTTTGAATTTTTACAGGATTTCCCACCAGCAAGCAAGCTAGATCCAAAAGAATATGGCAACCAAACAAGCACCATCACAAAGGAACATCTTGAACCCAACATGAATGGACTAAATGTACAACAAGTAAGAATCAATGGTAACTTACCCCATGGTTTTAAGTTAGATTTGGAGGTTATTGGGTCCACCTGCTGCTTTCGGCGTTACACGAGTCGTATGTGTGTGTGTGTGTCTTCTAACTTCTTGACCGGGTGTACGTACAGGCTTTGGAAGAAAATAAGTTGTTTATCTTGGATCATCATGATGCACTGATGCCATACCTGACTAGAATCAACTCTACGGCATCAAAAATATACGCGACTCGAACCATTCTCTTGCTCCAAGATGACGGCACACTGAAGCCACTAGCGATCGAGTTAAGCTTGCCGAAGTCAGAGAAAGACAACCATGGCTGCATCAGTGATGTCTTTACTCCTTCGGCAGAGGGAGTCTGTGGCACAATATGGCAGTTGGCCAAGGCATATGTAGCGGTCAACGATTCCGGATATCATCAACTTATTAGCCACTGGTATCACTACAACAATATTGGGTTTATATATATGACGTCAAAAAATCTAAATGTGCATATAGAAATATATCAATACAACGATTTATTTTTATAGGTATCCTAAAAACTTGATAACACGTCCAGTAAACTTGTTACAATGCTTTTACATGTTTGATTTTGGTGGTGCAGGTTGAACACACATGCGGTAATAGAACCATTTATAATCGCCACGAATAGACAGTTAAGCGTGATGCATCCGATTAACAAGCTTCTGCAGCCACATTTCCGTGATACGATGAACATAAACGCACTGGCTCGACAAATACTCATCAACGCCGGTGGTATACTTGAAATGACGGTTTTTCCAGCGAAATACGCCATGGAACTGTCCTCCGTTGTTTATAAGAACTGGGTCTTCACCGAGCAGGCGCTACCCGCTGATCTACTCAAGAGGTAACCAGCCACCACCGTGTGTATACAATAATTATGTGTCCTACGTAAAGCGTAAACAATATGGTCTATCATATCAACAAGTTTTTTAAATAAATCGTTATATTAACATTTTCTTATATAACACTATTTGAAAAGCTTACTTATAAAAAGATATGTTTACGGCACATTCTTAAAAACCATCTTTTGAAAAATAATATAACACTTTATTTTTAAGGTGTACTAAAAACTTGTTAAAATGCATAAAAATGCTATAAAGTTATTGCAACGCTTTTAGATTGGTGTTGTAAACTTCCGTCCTATATATAAAAAGCACATGTTCATAGACATCTTTGACGTCATGCAAACCTGATTTTGGTCTAAAGCTTATTAGTTACACGATAAAGTTTGTGAATTATATACAGAGGTGTAGCTGTCGAGGATCCAACCCAACCCCATGGGCTACGATTGCTGATAGAAGATTACCCATTTGCGGTCGATGGACTCGAAATATGGTCAGCGATCCAAATGTGGTGTACCGAATATTGTTCTATATATTACCTTTCAGACGACATGGTTAAAGCTGACGCCGAACTCCAGAAATGGTGGACGGAACTACGAACGGAGGGCCATGGTGACAAGAAAGACGAGCCATGGTGGCCGCAAATGCAGACACGATCGGAGCTTATCCACACATGCACCATCATTATATGGGTGGCTTCAGCTCTCCATGCAGCAGTCAACTTCGGGCAGTACCCTTATGCCGGCTACCTCCCAAACCGGCCGACCGTGAGCCGGCGGTTCATGCCGAAGCGGGATTCTGCGGAGTACGCAGAACTTGAATCGGACCCAGAAAGGGGCTTCTTGAAAACCATCACGAGCCAGCTTCAAACACTGCTTGGAGTTTCTCTGATTGAGATTTTATCGAGGCACTCAACGGATGAGATTTATCTCGGACAAAGCGAGTCTCCATATTGGACGTCAGACAATAGTGCATTAGAGGCATTCAAGAGGTTCGGGACGAAACTGGTTGAGATCGAAAAGAGTATAGCGACAAGGAACGACGATAAGGGATTGAAGAACAGATTGGGACCGGTGAAGGTTTCGTACACGTTGCTGTATCCGAACACCTCGGATTACACTCGTGAAGGGGGACTCACGGGCAAGGGGATTCCTAATAGCATTTCTATTTGAAATGTTTCGATTCCAGACACATCATCGTTTTGTTTAACAGAAATAATAAAAAGAGATGATAGTGTGCATGTGTAAATTGTATTTGTGTTGTAGATGGAATTAGTGTAAGGCGATTGAAGTAAAATAGAAATAAGATCGCCTGCTTAAATTCGTGTTCTTGGAAGATGTTTGGTTAATTTTAGTGATTTACATGATTTGTTACTAAATTAATATAACAACCCTTTCACATGGGTGTTTGATAAAGCTGGAATATCCAAGTGTTTTCACTCATGATGACATGGACAAAACTTACACTTATATTGTTCTCAATCGGTTCACCCTTTATATATGAGCAATGCAGCGAGATACATCGTGATTTTAATACTTAATTTTATTATTTATCTCAGCTGATGTTATAATATGRTTTTATGTGATTTTGAGAAAACGATGATGTTTTTATTTTTGAATAAAATATATGTTTGAAGATATCATAAAAATTTGACAAAAATATATCGATATTAGTATCAA